ACTAATGCAGAATCTAAACATCTTCTGATGTTGAGTATTATTTCACACCAATAGATTCATAGATTTTTAATTTAGTCCGTAACTTCTTTATCAGGTATAGGTAATATGTTAATTCCTATATTTCTTCAAAAAATTGTTATAGCTAATTTTGCTGACAGATATAAGCGAGCGTGTCTAATTTCATTAAACTGATGTAGTTTATAAAATAATAACAAACGATTTCCTTACAATAAACTCATTTAAGACGGGTTCTGTTTGTATTAGCATGTAAAGTGAAAGTATGCTTTAGTTACTTTTATTACACTTTTAATCGTGTCATACCATAAACGACTGCGTGTGGTAAACCTGATGATAAGTGAGCACTTCGTAAGTAGCCTAGCACAATACATTAATTAAGCAATAAGAGAATATGAGTCTTATTTATCTTTCTAGTAAATTAAGAAGTACGTCAGTTCTGACCTACCTCTCTCTGAATTCATCAGGCCATTATCTCCTGGTCGATTAATGTGACCGACGTGTATCAGCATGGGTGACCAAGGATTTGAGCATATTTAATATTTCTTATTAATTTTTTTATGGTTTTATGTTAGTCTTGACCCCACACTCTCTCTATCTCTCTGTGTGTTTCTCTTTTGTATTCCTCTTTTTCCAACGGTAGGGCAAAAAGAACATGAGTTCTGAGGATCATCAGTGGATACGATAGGGTTTGAAAGATATGCTCCTTAAACTTTGACACTGTGTTTTATCCCCGGTGTTTTTTGTTAAATATAATTTATGGGGCGTCCATGATGTATTTCCGGAAGTCTCTCTTTCGGATGAATGGGGTTGCCTTGGCCTAGATTAGTGGATTTTTGGTGCTGGTTTGTAGCTGCGTGGTTCTTTGTTACATTGGCTGGTCCAAATGGAGGAATTTCATATCTTTGCGAAGAAGCCAGTTGGAGCATTCGTGATTTTTCGAAACGTATTGTTGATGCAATTCTTCCATTCCAGACATCCGTATGTGATTGTCAGGATTACTATTGACTTTACGAAATGTACCTTCCTTATGCCTTTTTGCCTTTCCTATTTTGGAGTGGGTGGATAATCTTCGCTTGTAGCTTTTGATGATTTGTTTTGTATGTAAGGTGAGATGAGGTGTTTGTCCAGTCTTATTTCTATATATTTGTCTCATCATGACTAGCTGCTGGTTTTGTCACCCACTTTGATTGTGTGCGATGGGTATTTGTATCATTTTATTTTTTTTTGGAGAAGGTTATGACTACGGTTTTATCATTTATGATAATTTTTCAACGTGAGAGTCAATTTTTCATCATGTCCATGTCCTTTTGTAGTATTTTCGTGATATTATCCAATTTTCTAGTTGATATTGATCTGTCATCCGCAAACGTACAGGTTGAAAAGCAGTGGTGCGAGGACTGAACCCTGGGGGCTCTGATTGAGTAGTGGTTTTCAATTTTGACGTAGAAGCTTCCGCTGTTGAGGTAGCTTCTGATTGTTTGGATTATATATTTTAGTTTCTGTTTAGTTTTAATACTAGACTTTCATGAAATACTTTGCTGAACGTTTTTTAAGATCGAAAAATAAAACTTGAGTTAGCTGGGAACCCAATCAAAGCCCTTACCAAACAAAAATAAAATAAAAACCACACTCAGCTCAAGTTGAAAATCACTACCACACCTACTGAGACAATAAAATCAACAATTTAAAACCATATGAAAAATGTTAAAGCAACTAACTAAATAAGCAGAAAGCAGAACTCTATCACCAATAAAAACGAACAACTCAAGAACAACAAGCAATGAAGAAAAAGGTGAACTATTCACAGAAAGCTATGAAATGCAGGTCACCACAGGACCCACAAGTATTCACCACCTGAACGTAACCCGAAATATAACAACACACCCAAATTCTGATGGAAACTTTTAAAAAATAATAAAATAAGAAATTTCAGCCTACATCACCATAGCCAAAGGTACCAGGACCGGATTGGATCAACATCTACATAAAACCACTACTGAAAGAAGGCTTCAACACTTCCCCACTAGATAGAAAACAGCGAAAATGATTCTCATCCCCAAGAAAGGAAAACCTAAAAACACCAACCCCCATACGTCTCCTCCCGGCAACTAGCAAGATAATTGAAAAATGTATGTGAAACCGGCTCCAATAAGCCGCACCATAATCTCTTCCACAACCAACAAGACCTGGAAAAAAAGATTTTGGGTGTTTCATTCCCACCAGGTCCCTAACGCTGATGGGCGGGCAGTCCCTCCGGACTTCCCCGGAAGGTAGGGCGGAAGGCTCTCTTCAGCCTCTTTTCAGGAATCGTGGGAATAGGTGGGTAGTGGCTCTGGTGAGAAAGATGAAACGGACGAAATGAAGACAGAAGAGAATGAAAGATTATCTGTGGAATATTACTGCCCCAGCATTTGATTAAGTGATCCAAGGAAACCACAGAAAAACTACTACCATGGCAGACGGACCCGGAATCGAACCGGCGTCCTCCCGAATACTAAGCAATGGTCTAAATCTCTAGGCCATGCCGCTAGGAGGGAAGGCCTTTTATACCCGGTTTTGGGGTGGTTCTGAGTCAAATTTTAAATTTTCTCTCAAACAGTATACTTTTTTTTAGTATTTATTTACCTTATGATATACTGCAAAACCTAATTAATCACGAATTTCTAATTTTATGTACTCTTGTCTCCGATTGTACCTCCCAAACCTTAAACTAAGTCGCCTTTTTTAATAGACTAAATATAATACATATTATATCCAAGTCGAAAATTTCAAATACAGGCTTTTTCTATTATCGAAGGTTATATTCCCATACCACAAATCATGGCGTTTTTTTTTNGAGGCAACATTGATAATTGCAACATAGGTAGTTAAATTGTACATCAGTGTGTTATCACAGAAAAGTAGTTTGATTAAAAAATAGAATAGAATCTGCATTACATAACCAAACTAGATTAAGCAATGACAATCACGGTTCAATGAATAATAATGCCTTTGTCTTTTCCTCTTAGATACCGGATATTTATTAACAACTAATTTGTTGACTATAAGAAAAAATTAGCTTGTGTAGAGAATTTTTATAAAAAAAATGATACATATACTTAGGTGTTTAATAATGTTTAACCGTGTTTAAGAAAGCTGCTTGATTACTTCCAAAAATTATAAAAATTATTTGTGTATGATTATTTAAAATGACATTTGTCTGAAAAACTAACTAGTTACCTGACCTTAGGGGAGACCAGGGATAGTTGACTATAGGGGTAGGTAGACTAACTACCGAAAACTCGTCGACAGTGTATGAACTATGTCATCTGATCATAACCAAGCATTACATTTCGCGTCCCGCTCAGTTGTCTGAAGCGTTACATCGCGGTCGTGCGTTGTTTTCGAACACTGACATGTTTTTCATATTTCAATTACATAAGTAATATTTTGATATATTGTATTTTTTGATCTGATGCCTACTCGTTTTATGTAAATCATTTTTCTATTAGTCCTAGCATTTAATGAGGGCACATTTATCATATTTCATATCTTATTTTTCAAGTCAACGGCAGTGTTTAGGCTAGCCATGCGATCAAAATTAAAAATGGCGTCTGGGGTTGGTAGACCAATTTTTTTCGGGGCTGGTTGAATAATTATTCAACCAACCCCAATGAAATATGTAGTTGAAAACAACACATAAATTAACTTTTTATTGGACTTTTAAATCGTTACGTGGCCAAATTAAAAGAAAAATTAGAACAGAAATTGACGAGAGCAGAATTAACCCTGGACACAATGGAATATATAAACAATAGACACATTTTTACTAATCTAGAAGAGGAAACTTTAGCCAGTTTATTTTTTAACAAAAGGTTTAATTATTTGTTCCTTCTCAAGATTTGACTCTTACTGGTACATGAGTCAACTTACCCCGGGCATATGGTCTACCTACCCCGGGCCAGGGGTAGATTGATTAAGATTTAATATTTTGTAAAATGCATTAAATCATCACTATTATACTAAACTAAGAACTAAATATTACATATTTTTATTAGGTTAATAGATTTTCTATCAATTAACATGCTTTTCTTGTCTATATTCATTAAAACACAAAAAATATGAACTATTCAGTAAAAAACTAGTCAACCTTCCCCGGTCTCCCCTACTAGCCTTACCGCTCTAGAGAAAACGTTCTTATCTTTTTTTTTATTTACCTACAGTATATTTCTACGAAGGGGTAGAAGGGTCAAACATATTTTCTTTAAATTTCGACTTATAACTCTAAATGCTTATTGAACCGCAACCTAACGTAACTTAACTCAATCCCAGCCTAAACTAAAGCAATTTCGTTCGTGTTGTCTTTACCTACTGTATCGTTATGATTCACTTTTACTTCAATTAGGTTAGGATTATAATTTTTGGGATCTGCAAAGACAACACAAACGAAGTGAGTGGTATCGTAGTCGTCTACTTTTTTTGTTTGTTTACACAGTTGGACCAATCTTACTCTAACTCGATTCTAACCGAATAAGCATTTGGATCGCAGGCAACAATCATCACAATACTGATGATTCGGCCTGAAAAGTCGTGGTTGGTGCTGCGCAATAATCCCAATATAATCGATAATTATCGATAACAATAGTAGCGATAGTTATCGATATATCGATAGTTATCAATACGTATATCAAAAGCTATATTACCAATGAATATGTCTCGATATATCGATAACTATTAATACTTATCAATATGTATATTGGTAACTCGTATATGTTGTCGAGTTATAAAATTCCAAAATTAAAAAAGAAAAATTGCAGTATTAAATGGGAAATAGAAAATGCCACCTGTAAATATTACTTGCAACCTCATATTAGTATATGTACATTTGCCAATAATTAATTAGGTGACTAAATTAAAATAGAAAACTGATGTACATTTAATACAATGTATAGTAGTTGTACTATTTATATACAATACAAATAAGTGAATATTAATTAACATACCTCATATTTCGCCACTCACGATCTCTTGGGACAGCCTGGCTTTTTTACTGATGATGACGTTCCAAGAAGACACATACAAAACTAATACCAACAGAGTAACTGATGCAAGACGATAACAGGCAACGCACATGCGCTTCTGACTAAACGAAGCATACGAATCACTGATTTCCACCGATTTCTCAATAAGTAAATGTTAAATGTAGATACTAGTGAGAATATTGAATATATTTTACTTATTTTCGAGTAAATAACCACTCAGCAGTCAGTAAACTGATATAATATTGGTGAAAACCACTATTTTGTGACTATGATTATTTGACTTACTAAAAAAATGAATCTATTTTTAGATAAAAAAATTTTTGTAAATCACAATTTTCGACATACCTACATACCTACTCTACTTCTAACCGTAAGTAAATGTAGCGCTACTCGTCCTTGAAGGCATTTGTAAACAACGAAAATTATATAATTTTAACATCCATATATTTGAATTAATTAAATTAAGCAAAGACTTAATTAGTTTGTTATCACACCTATTATTTACATTAAATATTTGCTGGTAGCAGTCTTTTAACTAAACAATTTTGTAAAGACAATATTTTATAAACTTTATGTTTAAGCTTATTTGAAATTTTAATTTAAGTTCTTTTATCTCTAATTAAAGTTTTTATGAAAAGTGACGACATGCTACAATTATTGTGTTTTTATGATCATTAAACGATGCAATTTTGTAGTCTACATCATAAGTATAAAAAGCTAATTGGGGTATAGTTTACTAATGACTAAAGCTATTAAATGGAGAAATTAATTATTGTAATTATAATACATATGTGCGTTATCATGCAAAAGAAAGAGGAGGCAACATTGATAATTGCAACATAGGTAGTTAAATTGTACATCAGTGTGTTATCACAGAAAAGTAGTTTGATTAAAAAATAGAATAGAATCTGCATTACATAACAGCATATCTGACACTTAAAATACTTGTGCATATTTTTTAAAACTTGTGCCGGATGTGAATATATCCGACAACACATCCCGCACTATAAGTCAGAAAATAAAGTTATTCTACAAAAAGTAATTGGTACCTGTCATTTTAAGTTTTGAAAAGTTTAGAAGAAGATAATAGAAAATGCTTCTAGTCTCGCGATTATCAAAAAAAGTGGACAGAAAACACATTTTTTTTTTAATTTCTTAAGCACGGTAAGAAATTTATAAAATATAGAGAAGAATGTTGAACAGACGAAATGTGCGTCTTAAAAATACTAAATGAATAAGACGTGGTTCATTAAAATTGCTTTTTAAATAAAAAAGTTATTACAAAAAAAAAGACTAACAGATATTAAAAATTGTCCTTTTTTTTTATTACATGGAACTTTTAATCTTGACAAATAAAATGAGATCCGAAAGAGCCCCTAAACCGTTACCTAACCAACGGTACAACTAACTAAAAATAATCATTTTTCATTGTAAAAAATAAATTGTCCTTTATTTATCAACTAGGGGCAATCCATAAATTACGTTACACGTTAGGAAGGGGAGGGAGTCAACGAAATGTGACATTGTATGACAATGGCAGGGGGGTAAAACTTATGTAAACGAAAATCTTACAAATATTGCTAATTAGATTTATATTTATAAGGTTTATGTCGGTTTAAGTCGTTGGCGAGTGTTTTTATTTTGTCAATATCTAAAATATTTGAATTTATGTTGATTTGATTAGATTATTATTTTTAATGAAAATAAAAAAAATAAACTGCTGTTTTAATTCAATTATTTATAAATATAAAATTGAAAAATATGTAACGTCACTCCAAGGGGAAGAGGATTTTACAAATATAACACCATGTGACAAGGACGGGGAAAGTTAAATAAATAATAAATCGGTCTTACGCAATTTACAGATGACGCCGTCTTTATATAAATAATTTATTAAAAAACTGTACTTACCTGAAGAAATAATTTGGGGCTCTAAATACTCTGATCCAATTTTTGATGAAGTGTATAATAATCTTGAACCAATCGGATACCTGTTTACATCAAACAGCAATTAATTACTAGCCAATTGGTAAAACAAATTGACAGTTTAATTGCAAGTTGCAATAATTGTAATTGATTAAATATGAATCAATGCTTTCTTAGCACTTAACGACACTATTTTCCTTTTTTCAGTAGAAACTTAATTATATAGACGAAAAGACTATTCTATTACAACAGAAATGTTTTATTTGTAAAAACAGATATCAATTATTAAAAACAACAACTTTCAGTTCGTTACATTATTATACATAAATTTACAAAGTTACTATTGCCAACGTTTCTATGTACTTTAACTTGACAAATCCGTCAATCAATCAAATACGTATTATTATTTGAAAACATAGGGTCTCTTAATATTTTCTATTAACAAAAATATCATTAAAATATTATAGTTTTGTACTTTCACTGAAAATAAATTGTTCGGTAAAATACTTTTGTGGTACATATATAATATGGACAGCATTTATATAACATATATACATGTGAATACATTTCGCGCTCTTTAAATTAAAACCACATTTGTAACAGAGTTAGGACTATCTAATGCCTCATCGTAACCCTCGTCATTATAATCACAAGTTTTATCGTCTTCTTTATCGTCACCGTTTATCCTTATTTCGTAAAGTCCGTTTTCCGAAATGGCATTATCGGAATGTCTCCGTTTGAACACTTTTAACGAACTAAAGTCAGCGTGACATTCGCCGAGTGGTATAAGGGACACTTGGTCGTTATTCAGAATACCACCACTTCCAACACCATTATTATTTACACTGTTCATCCAGCAATATTTCCGGATATTTGTGTCCGTAAGTTGATCGAAACTGCGCACACAATTCGACACACTTCCACCTACTTTAAAGTCCAGTTCAGTCTTGATGCAATTTTTATTGTAATCGTCCTCCGAATAGACGATCTTATCCTCTTCCACTTCGATGATCGTGCTGAAATGCGCTGGTTCAGCTTCGGAAGTGACCGTACTACTGGTTTCACAGCCGCTTGACAACGAACCCTCATCACTATCGACGGGTAAAATATCGGTTTCGTTGAAATTCGTAAACCACGTCCTCTCGCACTTTTCCTCGCAGGATTCCATCAGTTCTTTAGTTAAGCTATCATGCAGTAAGTTTCCTAACACTAAAATATTCTTTTCTAATTCTTCTAACTGATCTTTTGCATTTTCCACTTGAGTATTTGTAAGAGAATTTTTAAGATTCACATCACAGATCTGTTGTTCTTGACTAGCATCCTGAGTAAATAAATTTTCTTCTTGGATGGAATTTCGAGGAGAGGGCACACTGAAAGACTGGAACAAGTTCCTACGCCTATAGTCACCTACCTCATCTTGTTCTTCGGCGTTTTCCTCGATTATTGTAAGTTTAGGAGCTGATTTTGAACGTTCCAGTGGAGGTTTATAGTTATATGAGCCGGAACTTAATAAGATTTTTCGCCTGGGTATTGTTGGATATTCATACAGAGCATTAAGAAGAGATAATCGAGCATTCTGACGAAAGATTTTGTCTTTCTTGAACTCAGCCAAGGCAAGAGCTAGCGATGCTTTCAATTGCTCTTCAATTTGTTTAGCTGCAGTAGCACTGGAACAAAGAACTGCATGACAACGAAGTTCGTGCCTTAATTTTCTGCCTTCGTGTCTGTAAACCCAACAGAAGATTCGGGGAAAGTGTGATGGGGCAGAACAAAATGTCAAACGGTTTGCCCAATATTCCGTTAGACCATGATCTTTCGTTGTTGCCTTCAGGCCACCGCCACTGACACTTAGTTGCATTTGAACGTCAGGTCTAGATGACTGGGTGTAGTTTCTCCAAAGAGTAGTTAAGGGCTTCTCGATACATCCCTCTCCTGAAACAAAAGAGAATTCTAATTGGTTTTTATAATTAACGATAAATTATGTGTCAAGTGTCTTCGCAATTTTAATAGTAATTTCTATTCGTATACGAATCTCGTTTGAGTGAACAGTAGAAGAGGCCCCCTGCTCTTACTACTAAGTACCTATACAGAGTGTAACAGAAGTAAGTGGCGAGTTATGGAGGATGGAAACTGCAATAAACAAACGTATGCAAATGCAAACACAAAAGAGCACCAATACTGATTATTATTATTATTTAAAATTCCATCCCGCGTGAAGAAAAGTCTGTGAACACCAAGTAGACTATGCAGTATTTTTCTTTCGAAACTACCGACACAAATCCACTAGCGACTGAAAATCGGATTGAAGCAAGGCTTGCACTCGCTGCAAATGATAAGGATGCAGCAACTGTTCCTTTCAAAATTGTCACACTGAGAGGAACGAACGTTCTCTGCTATTTCGCATGTAATACTTTGGGGGATTGTCTTCTTTGAAATCGAGGAGTTCGTCCCTACAGCAGCGATATATTTCAATCCCGTAAATACGTACTGGCTTACAGTAGTAATTAATGTTGTATTGTTGAATTAGGTTATTAAACAGCACAAGAATTAAACATTAAAAGAATAAACGCCCTGAATCACACTTTTTCTAATCTAACAATTAAACAATACATGAGCAAAAAAATGCAAAACAAATACTACACTGATACTAGTAGTCACCAGCTGATTGAGTACAGCGTTGCGGTCGTATTTATGAACCAGGGCCGGATGTACTTTCAATTGCGTTTTTCTCGAAACTTGCGAATATACAAACTCTTAATTTATAATTTATAGTGCTCTATCACCTCCTGCAAGCTTGGCATCCTGTATATTAAAAAACAAGAGAGACTACAATAACTATAACATAAAGGTAAGCGTCGATTTTGTAACGAAATAAAAAATTATTCACTGACAATGTCAAGCTAGTGTAATATTTAGCAACACGTTGGAAATTCTTTAATTAACACTGTATTCACAAAAACTATTTTGCTGTACGTATATTTACATATGTAAGTTGTAATTAAAGGCAGTCGTTAAAGGAAAAAATTATGAAGAAGGTAAAATATTGAAGATTCATTAATTTACCTGAGGTGCTTTTTAAATACAGAGAAATTAAAGGTAATTTGTGACGCAAAAGTGAGTTGCGTAACATCTATACCTGCAGATTCATCATGTGCTATTGCTCGTATAAAACTACTATTCAAATTTCAAGAAATAAACTTTTTTAAAGCTTGTACCAAATACTTATTATTTAGTGCAGTACTATTTATGAAAATACGTTCATTCGTTTGCAAATTATTTCATCATTAGCAATAAAATTTTTTCATTATCAAAGGAATGGAATAAAACATAACATTCGAATAGTACTGGACCATACATAGATTTGCACAAAAACAATAATACGTATAAAGGATGATCCCTTTGTTCCGTCTTTGACCTATTTATAATAACAAACATAGTGTCCACTAAGCTCAACATTTTTTTACCATCGATGTTCTGGCATTTATAATGCTTCTAGGAAAAGAACACTCTTCAGTCCCTGAAAACCACTGACTTCTCGCTCATGTCACTACTTTATCTGACAAAAACCGTTTACCACGCAAGGATTGGAAAGATTCGGTAATATCTAGGAGCTAAACCTGGCAAACATGGCGGATGCTCAACTAATTCGCCTTAGCTACTGTAGTTTTGCAATTACATTACATTAATATAATAATAACATAATCATCATCATCACCTTAAGACTGATTGGACATGCACCTCCACTCTTTCCTATCGTCAGTTAATCTTCGCATTTCACTAAAACTAGAAGAACCCATATCCTTAACTATTTGCGAACAGTAATCTAATCTAGGTCTACTTCTACCATTCCTAACTTTGGTTTCTGCCTCTAATATGTCTCTGACTATACCTTCATGTCTGAGAAGGTGTCGTACCAACCTATTTCGACTAACATCATATTTCGAACGCTACTAACCTTTTCTTTTCCGCCGCGCCCACCGTCAATGTTTCGCACCCGTACAGCGCCGCGCTCCAAACATCTTTTTCGAATTTCTGAATTAATCATTCGCAAGCATAGAAGTGACTTGTCTGATTTCCTAAATACCTAAAATCAGCAACTTTTTCTAATTTTTCGCCTCCGATCTTTATATTCGCTCTTTCCCTACTGTTTCTTCCCTTGCAAACGAGTATTTTTGGTTTACTTTTATTTATTTTCATACAATACTGTTATCAATACCGCTTCCATTTTATTTAAAGCTATCTGTAACTCCTCCTTGCTATTAATATTAAATTAGTCCTGTTGTCACTGACTTACTATTTATAAAATTACAAATATGAATTTAAATTGAAAACATTTTATGTACAACCCAATAGGACAAGTATTTTTTATTAAATGTTAATCAAAAAGAAACGCGAAAGTATGATGTAATGAGGGTTTTATTCATATTTACAAAATGACGATCATGAGGGAGAAATTATTCAATAGTTGGGTATTCTACTTGACCATCATGAATAAGAAAATAAATTAGGAGTACAATAGGTATGCAGATTATGCATCAGACATCTAAAGACAAAATTGCTAGTTTCGCAATTAAGTAAATTTGTCAAAGTCAAATAAGACTAAGAAAAACGTGAAAAGATCAAGTAGGTTAACAATGTTATTTATGCAGGCAAAAAAAAAACGCTTATGCTACTTCACCTAATTTGCTTGAACCAACATCAAATACAGAAAATTTTAATTTGTGTACATTACGGCAACTCCAGTAAATTCGATAACTACAGTTATAAAGTACATATGTATCTACATATATATGTTTACCATTACCACTCATGAGTAATAAAAGTATTTCACAATTCAGTATTTGATTCTACGAATATGTAAATTTATTTGGCCATATATTAATCAAAATGTAAATTTTTACGGTACTTTTTCAAAAATAGACCATCAGTAACTACAATATGTATGTACCAGTAAAATTAGAGTAAAGTAACGTTAAAGGCAAGTAGTTCAACAAAAAAGAGTTTCACATGCATATATACCTTTTATTGAAAGTGTTGTTGGTACTAACCAATGAAAATGCAAAACTCAACTAGAAAAATAAAAAACTAAAAATATTTATAATTACTTATAACATTAGGTAACGACGCAGAAGTCATTGAAAAAGGTATGTTATGGAATAGGTTTGCAATGGGTTAATAATTGCTGGAATCGTGGACCAGCTAGTATCAGCCTGTTTATCCCGACATGGTAAATAAATCTATTCTCTGCTTCTTCCCCTTGGTTTTATATACGAAAAAAGAATCAAAACTAATATGGGTAGTAATGTTTTATTTGGATCTATAGGCCTTGATTCTTTTTCAATGTTAATGAATACTTGAACCCTAGCATAGAAGAATTGGGTCACGAGGTACATCATTATTAGAGCAAGAAGAACTAGAAAAACATAGTGGTAGCTCAGTTTTGTAACTATTACGACTAACAAAATAATAAGTAATTTACCGAAACTGTTAAACATGGATAACGATTTCGATTTTATTTACTTTCGTCAGAATACATGACAATCTCGATAAATCAAACCGAAGATGCTCGATTTAACCATGTTTGTTCTAATGATATGATTGATATTCGTTGTTAACTATCTATCTATTTCAAATATTACACGGGAGCCTTACGATAGTTTAAAGATATAAGTAGAAGACTTGTAAGAAATTACTACAAATAGCGTAATAAACGCCATCTGTAGTATATTGCTACCTTTAGTGGAATCCAAAAACGTTCAAGAAGGTCCATAAGGATATCGACTTATCAAACCGAATCCACATTGTAGCTAACCCTAGGTGATAGTGATAGGCACATAACCACACAGGACCTCATCCTACATCCAATGTTACAAACTTTACCCCTTTATAATGCACGCCAGTGAATGTAAGGTGGTAAGAGCAATGACAATGATGATTCCACAATATGATTGACTCTTTATTTCTGACTATACACTTACCCGTCAATCTGACCTTCAATGAATCTCCTTACAGGTCAAAAAGTTCATGGTGGTCATTAGACAGTTTCAATAGAACACAGACTTAACTATCTGCTGCCTGATGAGATCCAATGAGATCGAAATCGCTATCCGCGTCTGACGATTACCACCATGAACTTTGAGATTTGTAGGGAAATACAGTAATGATCAGACTGACTGGTGAGTAGGCGAAAATACAAGACCTTTAGGTTGGAAAACCTCTGCTTTATCTATATATCAATCACGTTTGTTTTTGTTACAATTTTTACTTACATTACCTGTCTACATTATTTTTAAAAATACTTTGATTTCGGAAACTGTTTTCTTAACATCCACAGGATTCATTCATCACACGTCATAACATTTAAGACCATCAATAATATTTTATTATGATGCCGTTACGTCGAATATGCGTCATTATCTAAAAGTACTTTTATTGACATAAACATATTTAATTTTCTTAAACCATAACTAAAAATAGCATTTTAGGCAGTGTTTCATGTTTATACAGTCAGTATGGAAAATTTGTAAATTTCATGAATGATAACTTGTTTATTATTAACACAAAGTTGTCTGTGATTGATAATAATTAACAATAATTCTTGGAAAAATATAAACTCTCAAATTTGTTTACAAATAGATATATATAGTTAATCAATCCCACCCATAGAAACTGTATATTACAAAAAAAACAATATATTTTTATAACTGATTTTATTTACATATTTTTCGTGGAACACTGACTTTACTAGACAAACAGTAATTTTTCTTACACGATAAAGTAATCTTTTTGTGAAAATATGTCGTGTTCCTAGTACCCCGAGAAATCTTCCTCCCGTTGAGTCTATTTAGTTTAATTTAACTTTATTAATCATCAACTTATTTAAAAATATCTTCCCATCAACTATTTCAGCTTTATAAATTTCATTTGTACAA